TCCTGTGTGCATAAAAGATAAACAACAGCACTGTCACATCTTGCAGAGAACTATGAAAAAGCAATGTCTATTTGACAGCTATGAAATTTGACAGCATTGACAGCCCAGTTTAAAAAGTAGACTAAAGTGTAAAACTATATCTCTAATTAAATCAGGATCCTTTTGTATGAAATTCAACAAACGTGCATAGTACAATTTTCCTAAAATAATACTGTCCGAAAGTGAATAGAAGCCTTTTCCAAAATGGAAGTAGATGAGGATTGTGGATGGGCATTCCAACTAATTCAAGTTAAACCAGGCTGTTGATTTACACTAGGAGGGTAGCTCATGCTAGTTGCAGCTAATTAAGAACCTTACTTAGGATCTTAGGTTCTTGAAGTTTCACATTATCTTACTAAACATAGATTATTTTACAGGAACTTTAGATAATACATCCCAATTTAGTCTTCTACAATCTTTGTGGCAAAACAACGAAAAAAGTCTTGCTATTATTATTAAAGTGTAGTCAATGGAACCACAGAAAATACACAGGAATTTATTCTGGCTTATTGAGAATTTGTAGAACAGATAATTGATCATGGAGTCAAAATACTAAAACATTGACAAATCAGTTGTTGAGGCTCAGAAAACAATACTCCAAAGTATGGCACTTTAGCATAATGAGTGCTTGTTGTTTTTTTGTTTTATCTGAAACTGTGTCTTGCTCTGTCGCCCACGCTGGAGTGCAAGGCCACAAACATGGCTCACAGCAGACTCAACTTCCTGGCCTTAAATAAATTACCTGATCTGTCTGGTCTGATAGTAGATCATAAGACCATCATTCTAGAATGGGTCCTGCCCGATAACAGAGAGCAAGAAATGCTACACAGAGGTCAAGAATAATTCTGTAGAGACAGATCTTGCTGGGTTTCCCACCTCAGTCCATTACTGTTAGATCACACTCTTTTTGTTTGATTTTTCTTTTGTTTTGTTTTTTATTTATAGATGCATCACATGCTGTTGCTCAGGCTGGCATGCAGTGGCATGATCACGGCTAACTGCAGGCTCAACCTCCTGGACTAAAGTGATCCTTCTGCCTTGGCCTCCTGAGTAGCGGGGACTCCAGGTGTATACCACCACACCCAGCTAATTTTTAAATTTTTTGTACAGAGTAGGTCTTGCTATGTTGTCCAAGCTGGTCTCGACCTCCTGGGTTCAAGCAATCCTCCCACCTCAGCAAAGTGCTAGGATAACAGGTGTGAGCCACCCTGCCCAGCCAGATCATACCTTTTTTGTCCAATATTTTTACATGGCCTTACATTCTTCACCAAACCTAAGCATAAAAATAGTTTTCCCTGAGTTTGGGAGATTTCAATTCTGAAGACTCCTGTGTCATAAGAAAACTTTGATTAAATAAAACTGTTATATTTTCTCTGTTAACCTGTCTCTTGTTATGGGAGGGTCAACAGTGACCCTTATGGTAGGTGAGAAAAGGTATCGCAGAGTTAAGTTAAAAACAGGACAGATACTAAACTTAGATCCTGGGGAGTTGGTGGCAGTTGGAAAGAATGCAAAGTCGACTTTAGGATGGCAAATTGACTATTTTGGATATAAAAATGATTAAAAATATGAAAGCCTCTGTCTTCAGTAAAGCTCTCTTAAGCAACAAGAAGCCTTAGCATTACAGCCAGGGAGGCTCACGTGGGATGTAGAACAAATGGCTACATCCCTCCCCAAACTTTCTTCCTTCGGAGGAGCAGCACTGCCCTCCTGGGAGTGGCTGAGGGACCCACTCACACACAGCATCACATAAAGCCCTCAACAGGAGAGAAGCAGAGAGTGATGGCATTTACTACTGATGCTCTCAACCCCAAAGTCTGCAAGGCAAAGTCTGAAAACCTCAAGAAGTTGCTTGCTTTTTTTCCTCCTAGATACTAGTTTACAATAAAGTTAGATGCTCACACACTGACTAGGAGTTGAAAATGGGTTACTAAGCTCTTAACCACTGTGTTCTTTCTGCTTCCTGGCACAGACTGGAAATCACTCACGCTGCTTTACAAATGCATGTACCTTACTCTGCATTAGGGGGGCTAATTTAAGCTCCAAAACTGTCAGAATTTACCCTAATTGGGCCTCTTATGCATGTATATGTAACACATTGTCCAAAAGTTTCCCAGAGAGGATAGTACACACTAAAACTCATAATGGAAAGTGAATCAGGCTGGGTGCGGCACCAGTAATCCCAGCATTTTGGGAGGCTGAGGCGGATGCATCACCTAAGGTCAGGAGTTTGAGACCAGCCTGGCCAATATGGTGAAACCGTGTCTCTACTAAAAATACAAAACTTAGCTGGGTGTGGTGGCACATGTCTAATCCCAGCTACTTGAGAAGGTGAGGCAGGAGAATCACTTGAACCCAGGAGCAGGAGGTTGCAGTGAGCCGAGATGTTGCCACTGCACTCCAGCCTGGGGGACAGAGTGAGACTCAGTCTTAAAAAAACAAACAAACAAAAAAAACAAAAAAAACCCAAGTGAATCAGAGCTGGGCAAGGTGGCTCACGTCTGTAATCCCAGCAGCACTTTAGGAGGCCAAGGCAGGTAGATCACCTGAGGTCAGCAGTTCTAGACCAGCCTGGCCAATATGGTGAAACCCTGTCTCTACTAAAAGTACAAAAATTAGCTGGGCATGGTGGTGCGCGCCTGTAATCCCAGCTACTCAGGAGGCTGAGGCACGAGAACTGCTTGAATCTGGGAGGCGGAGATTGTAGTAAGCCAAGATTGTGCTTCTGCACTCCAATCTGGGTGACAGAGTGTGACTCCGTCTCAAAAAAAAAGTGAATCAATAAATATATTGGTTTACATAAGGAGACAAAACTCAAAATTCTATCAAGTACTCCAAAGCACTTAGCTCTTACTCTTTTTGCACTTCTGACATTAGTCTAATTATTTGTCTCCTCAACCTCGAGGTTATTTTTCCCCCCTGGCCCCTAACAATTAACATAAGGCATTCAGTAGAGTAATAAATTCCAACAAATGGCTGACCTGCTGTCTCTCTGACAGCTCTAGTAGCTTAGCAGTCATGGAAATACCTGAACAGCTTGAAGGTCAAGATTCTGCATTTCCAAACACCACAGTCACCTTAAGAGCTAGCCTCCACGTCTGGTCCCCTGCAGGAAACAGATATTTGATCTACCCCTTATGCTAAGATGAAACCTCAGGGACAAATCCAACATCCAAATTAAAGGCTGGTCTAATCCACAAACAATCTTTGTGGGGATTTGTTCTTATGATTAAAAAGGAGATCCAAGGGTTACAAGAAAAGGATCTGAAATGCTGCTTTCAGATCTCTCCTTTTATAGACACTTGGCAACATTCCTGGGAGCTTGAGTTCTCTTTAAAATGTGTCACGTGTATAACATGTGTGCCTGGACAGAAGTGTGAGGTAAAAACTCAAGCAGACGCTTAAACACAACAAAGTGATAAGGTCACAGAGAGCAAACCTTGAGTAATCCCAGTTAGAATGATAAGTTCATTACTAGGTTTTCTCTGAAGTCATTTTCTTTTGGCCTGCATATTCAGATACCATCCTGAGAGAATGCCCGTGTAATTTAACAGTGGAAAAACCCTATCTACCTAAATATCTAATATTCATCTTCTCTTTCACATTCATTCCATTTCTCCAAGTTGGCTGAAAATTCGTGTCAAAGATCCTGAACCCCAATTTCATACAATTTCCTATGTTTGAGACCAGTGTGGCTCTATTTTCACCTTTCAAAGAGGAGGTGAGCTTAGAGAACGTTCTCTGCTCCGCTCCCCTGCTGCAATTAGTTAACAGTAACAGTGCCCACCTACCCATTCGCACCAGCCCACGTTGCATCTGTGCCAGGCAGCATGTGCACCCTCCAGGCATCTACCAGCCTGCCAGCTCAGCAGGGCAGAACTGGGCAGACCCTAGTACTGTGCTGGGACTGGCATACCACCAGCCTTCCAGGGCAAACGCCCAGACAATGCATACTGCCAGGACTTGAGCAATAACAGGGCGCCTAGCTCCAGCCTGTGCCCTGGGCCGGGATCAGAGCTCCCCCGAACTACGCACCCACTAACCACTAACTCCTTACTTGGCACTGCCCACCTTCTCCCCTAGAACACTACCCCCGGCGCCAAGCCTGGCGAGCTGGCCACAGGGGAAATAACCAGCAACGTGGGTGACGGCAGGTCTCTGGAAAAGGCAGCACACCTGTGCCCTGGGGGCCAGAACAGGGTATTACCCCTGACCTCAAACCGGTAGCCCAGGACCCTCGCCCAGTTACCAGTTCTGGCGCCCACTCACCTACCCATTGCCTGGCCCTCTGCTCCCAGCCGGGCTGGCCTCCAGGCTCTTTCCCCTCCCAGCCGGCTGGCGGCTGCCCCAGGGCTAAACTAAGGCCCACCTGCCCTAACGGACTCGCCCCACTGGCCCCTCACACAAGCCCCCTCCCCACACGCAGCCCCCTCCTCACCCGCGATTCCCTCTCCCACACCCCTCACAGCAAAGCCAACAACCCCCGCTACCACCATTTGGCCCTCCGTCCCCCGAAAGTCTCAGTTTACCCCTCTTGCCTACTCGCTCCTCTTCCTCTCTCGCCTACTTCCACCTCCTTTCCCCACGCTCCTCGCCCAATCCCTCTCCCGCCGCCAGCCCTGCTCCCCTCCTTCCTGACCCAGCCCTCCCTTTCTCACCTAGGGCCAGGGTCGCCGCTCCACGACCGGTCCCGTGGGTCAGGTGGCGCATGCGTGAGCACGGCCCCGCGGCTCCATGACAACCTAGTCGTCGCTGGGTGTCTCGCTAACCCCCAACCTCCCGCCCATTTCTCCTCCCCCCGCCTCCGCGACAGCTTTCGCCAGCCACGTGACCCGGCTCGGAGGACCCGGCACCATAGAGACCGCATACTGTTCTCCTAGAAGGGACCTTGGAGACGCGCCCTTTCCCCGCCCCCGCCGGAAGACCAGGCTGGCGAGGAGCGGGACCGGCGCTCAGAGGCTGGTGCTCTCTCCGCGGTGGGCGAGCGTCTCTATGGTTGGATCCTAAGACCCGGCCGCCATTTTGTACGGGGGCCTTGAGCAATGAGAGGCTTGGGGACGGTTTCGAGGCGGAGTTCCGAGGAGCTGGGGGTGGGGACGGTTTGGAGCCACTACTGCCAGAGGCGCGACTCTCGCACTGCCGTGGTGCGTGCCGCCGTTGGGGTTGGGGGCCGGGGCGAGGCGTGTCCGGCCCGTGCGCGAGCCATGAGCGACGGTGCTCAGCGTGGAAGAGCGGGTGCGCCGGCAGCCTCGGCGTGGAGTTGCCCGACAGGGGCGCCAGACCTTCCCGCGTGCTCCTCGCATTTTCCCTACGCGTTTACCCTGCGCATTTCCCCTGGTTTGTTTTTTGTTCCCGTCCACCCTCGAGACCGTGCTCCAAGAGGTCGAGGGGCGATGAGTTATTTTAAGTGGATGATTTCATGTCCTTTGATGTTTGACACACTTTGTCATGTGCGATGGGTTTTATATGGACGCTATTTCTCGGTGAAGGTTCACGGTGAACACGTGTGTAACAGCTGAAGAGGAGGGCTTGGGATCAGTTGGCGTTCTGCTGCCTTGAATCAATGACAGTTACTTATAATTATTTCTCTAGTGAAAAAGACATGGGCGAGTTTAAAGAGTGTTGACAGATGGAGACAGATTCTAGACTGAGCTGACCGATAAGGTGGTCAGTAACAACTCGATAAGTTTCTCAGTCGTTCTAGTCCCATTTCATGAGCTGCATGACCTCTTGATTGGACAGTGCAGATTATAGCCCATTCCCAGCATCGTAGAAAGTTGTACTGGACAGAGCTGATGGTGGGAATAGTTTTATACTGGTCATCCAGGCCTTTGTAAGTGCTGCTAGATTATGGTTAATCACGTTAGTCCTCTAGACACAGATAATTCTAATGTATTATTGGGTATGGGTGTACTTACTAGCAATAAGCCTTACCAACAAGTAATGTGCCTACAGCATGTAAGGCTTTTGTTTTGGGGACAGAGTGAAAGCAATAGTTAACAATTACCAAGTAATTCAGAGCCAGGCCGCTTTATATGCACCCTCTTGTGATGCCTTACAAATTTATGACGCAGGTGGTGTTTGTTTTCAGTTGTGTAGACTTTTTGCCCATCAGGACACAATTACGAAACTCTGGCTTTTGTCCACGAAGCCATTAACAGATTGCCTTTTTTTGAAGTAGAATAAAACAGTCTGCCTTCAAATAACTTAAAATCTGATATGGGAAATAAGACACGCTGTAATAAATAATATGAAAGAGAATGGGATAAGTACCAGAAGATTCTGAACAAAATTAATGAAGTCAAGGGAGAAAAAAAATTTTTTTTTTTTTTTTTTTTGGTTGTTGGAGGAGGATGAGATCAGTAGGGAAAAGTTTAAGGATAGCTAAAAGTTGAATTTGCAATAATGGAAGTAGGTGAGAGTGTAATGCATACCAAGCAAAAAAGAATTAATGAAATAAGCAAAAACATAAGGGGTGGTCCTGTCTTAGTCTTCCAAAGGGGGCAAAATAAATTCACTATGAGAGGAATGAATGAATGGCATCTGCAGCAACCTGGATGAGATTGGAGACTTATGTTCTAAGTGAAGTAACTCAGGAATAGAAACCCAAACATCGTATGTTCTCACTAGTAAGTGGGAGTTAAGCTATGAGAATGTAAAGGCATAAGAATGGTACGATGGACTTTGGGGACTCAGGGAAAAAAGGCTGGAGGGGGCTGAGGGATAAGAGACTGCAAATTGGGTTCAGTGTATACTGCTCGGGTGATGGGTGCACCAAAATCTCACAAATCACTGCTAAAGAACTTATGCATATAACTAAATGCCACCTGTTCCCCAAAAACCTATGGAAATAAAACAACAACAACAACAAAAACGAGTACTAGGCTTAATACCTGGGCGACAAAATCTGTGCAGCAAACCCCCATGACACAAATTTGCCTATGTGACAAGCCTGCACACGTACCCCTGAACTTAAATAAAAAACAAAACCAACTTTAAAAAAGAATAAAACAGTCTGCCTTCAAATAACTTAAAATCGAATATGGGAAATAAGACATGCTGTAACAAGCAATATGAAAGAGAATGGGGTAAGTACCAGAAGATTCTGAGCACAATAATAAGAGAGGAAAAAAAAAAAACCTTTCTTTTTTGGTTGTTGGAGTAGGAAGAGACCAGCAGGAAAAGCTTTAAAGTCAGCTAAAAGTTGGATTTGCAATAATGGAAGTGGGTGAGGGTATGATGCATTACCATGCAAAAAAGAATCAAGGAAATACGCAAAAGCGTGAGGCTCTATCTTAGTGCTCTGAAGGGGCAAATGAACCAAACTTCTTTGACTTTACCTGCGTCGTGCGCAGACAGCCATGCCGTACCAATAACTTGAACTTCTGACAAGTATTGTAATGGAACCAAGCGAATCAGACTAATTTAATGATAGGCATAATTTTTATGATTATTTTATGCTATGATTCTACATAATTACATATACAGAATAAGCAATTCATGAAAATGGATAGTGAATGTTTTTATACAGCTAAACCACTGTAAACGTTTTTCTTTCCTATTAATTTACCAAGGTTTGTAAATCAGCATCTATTGATAGTTTACTGGTGCCACAAACTCTTTAACCTTCACTCACTTTACTCTATTCTTGTTTGGGGTAAGGACGCTGTGATGGATAGTGGGTTTTGAAGCACTGGATTCTTCTTGCTGTAGGGTCCTTTCCAATTCAAGTTCTCCCCAGTACCATTGTGGTCTAGGCATGGTTTGCCACCACCACCACCAGTAGGGGGAGACGTGCGCCGTTAAATCCTACATTTAGGGATTTGCAAATGTTTCTTTTTTCCATCTACTTCATGAAATAGTAACCTGCGAGAGGTCCTGGTTTAAATAAATAAATAAATAAGAAATAAATAAGAAATAGTAACCTGCATATCCATATGAGGATTTGAATTTTTAATGCTGCATAGAATATCATGAAGAGTCAACCGTGAACCGAGTTTTATTTGAAGATATTTTAAAGGATATAATCTATTGTACAATTTAAAATATTTATAAACAATTGTTTAATAATTGTTGAATTTAAAATTGAAGTCATTAAAAAATATTTAAAAGTAATTAAAATTGGAGGCAGTGAAAGTATTCACATGATCTAGTTTCAAATCCCAGCTCCTATCAGTATCATTTTACAAAAGAAAGGGCATTTTGATATCTTTTTCATATACACAGGAAGAAAGATAGGACATAACCTCACAATTTAAAAATAGAATAATTTCAGCCGGGTGTGGTGGCTCATATGTGTAATTCCAGCACTTTGGGAGGCTGAGGTGGGCAGACCACCTGAGGTCAGGAGTTTGAGACCAGCCTGGCCAACATAGTGAAAACCCGTCTCTACTAAAAACACAAAAATGAGCCAGGTGTGGTGGTGGGTGCCTGTAGTACCAGCTACTCGAGAGGCTGAGGCAGGAGAATTGCTTGAACCCAGGAGGCAGAGGTTGCAGTGAGCCAGGATCCCACCACTGCACTCCAGCCTCGGCGAAAGAGCAAGATTCCATCTCAAAATAATAATTTGGGTGTATGAAAAACTTAAAGCCTTCGTCTTATTTTTCCAGTTTGGCTGAGGACTGGTGAAAACAGCATCACAAGGACTAGCAGCAGTTCTTAGACTGGTGTTTGGGAACCACTGATTTCATTTTCCTGAACCTTGGTTTGGCCATCTGTAAAACAGTTATCCTCTAGTTTGAATCTAGAATCTAGCATTATTGGTGCTGATCACTTCGGAAGTTTTTAAAGAAGATTTGATGGAGTGGTAAGTGTGTGTCATGGGTCAGTGTGAGGAGAGGGGCTCCAGCCTGTGTGGGCAGGGGATGTACAGGTGCCAGATGGCAGAGGCAGAGGTCAGGGATAGTGGGATATATGACCTTTTTTCCCTTAGCAGTCAGGTGACAAGGCCCTCACCAGCCGGACTGATTCTTGGCTCATATTTTAGGGGAGTATTTGGCAGAGCAGGTACAGTAAAGGGATAATATTCAGGTTATGGTCAGGCTGTTCATATGTAGGCAAAGGTTTGATTTTAGAGGCAGTGGAAAACCCTCCCACTGCGTGATACCCAGATACTCTGGAACCCAAGACAAAATCTTCCATAACAAGGAGTGCTTGTTATTTGCCAGACACTGTCCTGAGTGACTTGCCTAATTTATTCACTTAATCCTCCCACTATCCTATAAGATGGGTGTAGTATCATTTTCTTTTTACAGAGCAGGAGGCTAAGATACAGAGGCCAATGTCACTTGCCAAGGTCACCAGTGGTAAGTGGTAGAACCAGGATTTGAATTCCAGAGTTCTTGCCACTTTGCTTGACAGCCTCCATGTTAAAGTGGAAATGGGTAATATCTCAGCCTTTCCTGCTATAATAGGAAGAGGCCAGTGGGAAGGTAGAAGCACTATGAGGAATAAAAATAAAATATTAAGCCCTTCAGCCAACTGGACTGACCCCTTCTTGGCCAGGCATTTCCCAGAGAAACCCTGAAAACTGAGTGTCTCGCATGCTGAGGAGAGAGATCAGACATGCCTCAGTATGCCCCTTCCTTATTACCCTTTCTTTAGCCAGAATTGTTTCCTAAAGTATAAGCAGAAACTAGCTCTAGAAAACAAGAAATGGATGACCCATTCCTTTATCCCCATTAGCCAATCACCTGAGGTAGTGATTGCACTCCCCCATCTCTTTACAGTTTCAAAGTGACAACTTGCCAGTTTCACAATGCATCTCTTCCTAAAAACTGACCACCATCTCTGGGTTAGTTTTGGCTGACTCATGGAGGATATGCAGTGAGGATTTTTGTGTCTTCTGCTTCACCTTTTCATGTCAGAGTAAAACTGCCTTTGCAAAGATTATGATGGTAAGAGAAGTCTAGCATGGCTGACTCCATTTTGCTTCTGCCTCATAGGCTGGCTGTCCTCACTCATTCCTGGGTATAGGCCAAGCTAACCATGGGAGGCATTTCATTTATAGTTTAACTTTGAAGTAAGAATGATAACAGGCCCTCCATGAAACTAACCCCCCCTCTTTCCTCAGGGACCGAAACCACTTTTGTAAAAGCAATAAAAGACTACAAGATTAGGATTATGGGATGGGCCTGAATTCTGCTAAAATGTAGGTGTAATTAAATGATAACCAGCCATTGTTTCAGAAGTCACAAAATTTGTAACTTCCCCAAATGCTCCTTCCTATAGGTAATCACTATTTTAGAACCTAAGATTGATCTTTTGAGTTGTTTTTCAGACTTTTGCATTCTGGCAACTGACTGACTTCACCCGGATGATCTGAGACTCAGGAATCAACCGGTCCTGTGGGCCCCCCACCTAGAGGCTGACTCAGCACATGAGGACTGTTTTCCACACCCCCATGATTTCTTCCTCAACCAGTCAGCAGCACCCATTCCCTAGCCCTCTCCCACCAAATTATCCATAGTACTCTAGCCTCTCAGTTCTCAGGAAGAATGATTTGAGTAATAAACTCCCACCTTCTGGTTACCTAACCCTGCAATAATTAAACTCTTTCTCTACTGCAATACTGCTGTCTCAGTGAATTGGTTTTATGTGTACAGTGGTAAGAAGAACCTGCTGGGCAATTACAAGAGGGCCAAAAACTCCACCCTTGAACCATGCTAACACCACCACTTTTTGAGACGAGTCATTCTGTTGCCAGGCTGGAGCACAGTGGTGTGATCTCAGCTCACTGCAAGCTCTGCCTCCAGGGTTCAAGCAATTCCCCTGCCTCAGTCTCTCAAGGAATACACCACCATGTGTGGCTAATTTCTTTGTATTTTAGTAGACGGCTTTCACCACGTTGGTCAGGTTGGTCGCAATCTCCTGACCTAGTGATCTGCCCACTTCAGCCTCCCAAAGTGCTAGGATTACAGGCATGAGCCATCATGCCTGGCCACCACCACCACCATTTTTGAACATGGGACTTGGGAAGAAATGTGAAGCCCAATTGCATATATGCTTCTTTCTCCTATCATAAATATTCATGACTTCTATAACTTACTGAATATATTTGGCCATGCAGCTAAGCATAAGTTTATGCTTGCTCTCAGCTTCTTCTGAAGGTTACACTTTCCAGTCTGTGGGCCGGCAGGCTGCAACCCTTTATTTGAACTTGAGAAATAAAGGTTTCCTTCCAAATTTATGAACTTTGTGATTCTTCAGTTGACAATTAGGTACAGGCACTTGTGTGGAAAGGAGGATGACAGGAATGGGGGCTGGGCATTGTAAAAGCATATTACAGAAAATGCCTCCAGCTGGTCATCTTTTTCTTTTTCTCTGCATATCGTAGAGATATGTGGGGTGTGTGTTTGTGTGTGCGTGCACACACGTGTTGTGTGGTTTATGCTGATCTTAACCCACATACCTGCCCAAACTATTTAGAAGCTGTCTTGTATCTGTTAGACCCTCATCTTGAATCTTTTTAGTGGAAAGACTTTTAAAGTATTTTCCCCAAAAGAGCACAAGGAACTTCACCCCAAAATATGGCTCCTTGATATAATGAGTATTTTGAGTTAAAATCCCTTAGAGATCAATGGATGTTGCAAAATACTTTTCCCTTATCTACATAAAGATTGGATGGACCCTACAAGGAGAACAATTGTTTCCCCAGCCCCATTATCTATTTTCTTTTTGTTTTTTTTTTGAGACGCAGTCCCACTCTGTCACTCTGGAGAGCAGTGGCACAATCTTGGCTCACTGCAACCTCTGCCTCCTGGGTTCAAGTGATTCTCCTGCCTCAGCCTCCCGAGTAGCTGATATTACAGGCATGTGTCATCACACCCAGCTAATTTTTGTTTTTCGTATCTTTAGTAAAGATGGGGTTTCATCATGTTGGTCAAGCCGGTCTTGAACTCCTGACCTCAAATGGTCTGCCTGCCTCCGCCTCCCAAAGCGGTAGGCTTACAGGCATGAGCCGCCTCATCCGGCCATTTTTTTTTTTTTTTTTTTTTGAGACAGAGTCTCACTCTGCCACTTAGGCTGTAGTGCAGCGGTGTGATCTTGGCTCACTGCAACCTCTACCTCCCTGGGTTCAAGCAATTCTCGTGCCTCAGCCCCTTGAGTAGCAGGGGTTACAGGCATGCACCACCATGCCCAGCTAATTTTTGTATTTTTAGTACAGACAGGGTTTTGTCATATTGGCCAGGCTGGTCTTCAACTCCTAGTCTCAAGAGATCTGCCTGCCTCAGCCTCTCAAAGTGCTGGGATTACAGGAGTATGCCACCATGTCTGGCTTCCTCCTATTATCTATTGCAGAAAAGACCAAGAATGTAACCACACACGAACAGACTCTTTCACAAGATAATGTCTCTCTTGCAGACTCACTCAGAAAACCATTTAGAAATTAATGTTTCCCAATCCATATCTCCCTCTCCACCTGAAATAAGGGTATCTGGACCCCATGGGGAAGTGAGGTAAGCACTCTGTGGTTCTGTGCACATACTCAGGTATGAAAAAGGACGATTTATTCACCCAGAGACGGGTTTCTTTAAGATGTTGAGTATTATTTTTAAGATTAAAAGGCTGCTTCTTTCTGGTAAAGTCCTGTCCCAGCTGGCATCACGGGACCTGCTGATCTGGAGCTATTACTGAACTGATGGCCATTCCCATGCAGAAATATGGTGCATTTGGTCTCCTGTTTTTCGGACAAGTATAATGGGATAACCCACAGGATTTAACCCCAGGGTAAATCCAAGAAAATTCATTGCAATGTCTTGTGCTAATAGTTTAATGAAATTCTCCCTCCAGCAATTTCTGATAGGGCATGGGGATTTTCTCCGGTGTCACCATACTTTTTAGCAGGAGTGACTGTCATCCAGGTGCAGGTGTTCTTGGCTGTCCTTTACCTGTTGTCTCTTCTTGTCACACATAGCTAAGAAGGCAGATGACAGGTTCATCTCTACTACATGGGGAATTACCAAGTGGTTGCCTAGCAACTCACACAGCACAATCAACATGGTCTCTGTTGTGGAATGTAGAATGGTTAGCTTTCTTTTCAAGAATGTATTTCCATACTTCGTTTGGGTTTCTAGAAAAGAAGGTATGTTTCTTGGACTTGAGGTTAGTAAAATGGACTTTGGTATTGCTTTTCCCAGTATTCATTCTATAGTAGGCCATTATTGTAACAAACAACAATTATCTGATCAAATCATTAATACAGCAATTGTTTCACTTCAATTCAGGAAGCATCTTCTCCGTGCCACATACCATACTAGATACTGTAAGGAATTATAAGGATGCACAAGTGTGGTCCCTGGTCTCAGGGAACCTAAATTTTAGTGTAGATGCTTAGACATTTAATAGATTTGTATAAATCACTTGTTTACTCATGTGAAACAGATAGCTCTATATATATGTAAAATAAAGGTGTCTTTATTTGGAAGAGTTCCTTTGTGTTTGATCAAAGGATTTTTTACATGTATTTAGATTACTGCTGTTATAGCTAACAGCTGCAGTCAGTTCAAAAAGCTGTAATTAAAAAGTGTAATCACTTTTAAGACATAGCTCCTATTGGAATCTAAGTAATTAGCAGCTCTTAAACAGCTCTTGTTGGAATATGCCTCTGCTGCTGCTGATGTTATCAGATAGGATGGTGCTGCTCTGTGTCTGCACTGCAGTCTTTCTGCATAATTGCTGCTGTGGCATTCACAGCTCCCTGCTTCTATTTTACACATTCCCATTTAAAAGAAGCCCCTTGCCTTTCTTTGCCTACTTTGCAACAGTGCAGCTGCCTCTTTGCAAAGAGGGACTTCGGCATGTCACCAATCTTGCATTAGGGAATCTTTTGATTACTTAAGCTAATTTCTTTTCTACTTGGGAGGCAGTTGCTAGACAGAGCCTAGGATTTGACTAGCCCTTTTCCCATGAATTGACTCATCTGGTGAATTGTGGCATCTTCAACCTCAGGAAGGTGCCAAGGCATGGGTGTGAAGCAAGTGTCCTTTGATGCAGTTGGTGCATATTCATTAGATCTCCGCCTGAGTGAACTATACTGAGAGTCCATCAAGAAAAGAGGGTGCTTTTGTGGATAGTTGTGCCACAGCTCCAGAATCATCTTCTAGCATTTTTGGCTAGCACTCTGGTTTCTCTGCTTGCCTTCCCAGTCCCTGTGTAGGACCTGCCCCTTGATCATTTTCTTTGCTGTCCAGTTCCCTTAGATCCCTTGTGAAATCATTTGGACCCCTTGCCTTCACACAGAACCCCTGACCTTTGCTTCCCAATACAGTGTCAGCCAGAAGGCAGGGGACAAAGGATAGAAGGGGACTGTGTGAGACCAAACATTGTACAGACATTTTCCTTAAGCTTTCTCATAACCACTTCTCCCTAGCTCTTCACAGCCCCATTCCAACCATGAAGCTCAAAAAAGTGCTGTACAGATTGCTCCAATGAGTACTGATGTAGTCTCCTGTCAAGTCAGTTTTTCACTTAGGATCAAACCAACCAACATTTACTGTGTACTGTGTCCCTCCCAAGGGTTAGGGGCAGTGTAAAGCATAAGGCCCAGTCTCTTCACTTAAGGAGTTCCGAGAATGGTTTTATAAGTCCTATGATAATATAAATGTGGCAACACAAGCAGGAGATCGGTTAGTTTACATAAAGGATGAGCATTCAGGAAGAGATACTGAGAGCCATTTAGATCTGGAAGATTGGCTAACAAGGGAGGACACTCTATTTACTTTTAAAAATGGGCCTAGTTAAAAAGCTGGGCGTTGGCCAGGTGCTGTGGCTCGTGCCTGTAATTCCAGCACTTTGGGAGGCCAAGGCAGATGGATCACCTGAGGTCAGGAGTTCAAGACCAGCCTGGTCAACATGGTGAATCCCCGTTCTCTACTAAAAATACAAAACAGCTGGGCGTGGTGGCAGGCACCTATAATCCCAGCTACTTTGGGAGACTGAGGTGGGTGGATCACCTGAGGTCAGGAGTTTGAGACCAGACTGGTCAACATGGTAAAACCCTATTCTCTACTAAAAATAAAAAATTAGCCAATGTGGTGGCACGCACATATAATCCCAGCTACTTGGGAGGCTAAGGCAGGAACATGGCTTGAACCTGGGAGGTGGAGGTTGTATTGAGCTGAGATTGGGTCACTGCACTCGAGCCTGGGCAACAGAGCAAGACTCTGTCAAAGAAAGAAAGAAAGGAAAGGAAGAAGGAAGAAAGGAAGGAAGGAAGAAGAGAGAGAGAGAGCAAGAAAACAAGCGAGCGAGCTGGGTGCAATGGTGAGTGCCTGTGGTCTGAGACCAGCCTGGGCAAAATAGCAAGACCTTGTCTCTAAAAATAATAATAAAATAAAAATTGATCACGGACCCAGAGCGGAGATCTGTTGCCCTTTGATGTTGGGAAATCCTTTACTGCTTGAATCTAAATCCTTTATGCTGCAGTTTATACCATTATTTCCTCTTGTTTCAACTTCAGTTAAAATCGCAAAAATCTGTGCCTAATACCCTAGTCACTCAGAGGTCGCTAGCAAGTCATATCTGGCTCACTACCCTAACAGAGAAAAAAAACACTATTTTCTCTTTCCCCAAAACCCTGTGGCTAGACTCTTCTAGCTGCTGCACTAGGAACAGTTTCTGAGAGACTCTTTGCACTAGGGCCTTCCCTGGAAGGGCAGAGATAGGCAGGGTGATCAGCTAGTCGGGCGGCCTGCCCCAGATAATTGCACTTGGAAAGTGTCTGCA